ATGATGGGATCACTCATCTAGAGCCAGACCTCCTGGAATGCAAAGTCAACTGGTCCTTAGGAAGCATCACTATGAACAAAGCTAGTGGAGATGATGGAATTCTTGTTGAGCTATTTCAGATCTTGAAAGATGATGCTATTAAAGTGCTGCACTCAGTATGCCAGTCAAATTTGGAAAACTCAGCAGTGGCCACAGAACTGGAAAAGATCAGTTTTCATTCCAATCCCAAAGAAGGGCAATGCCAAAGAATGTTCTAATTACTGCACAGTTGTACTCATCTCACACGCTAGCAAATTAATGTTCAAAATCGTCCAAGCTAGGCTTCAACAGTACATGAACCTAGGACTTCCAGATGTTCAAGCTGGATTTAGAAAAAGCAGAGGAACCAGAGACAAAATTGTGAGCATCTGTTGGATCATTGAAAAAGCATGGGAGTTCCAGAAAAACATCTACTTCTGCTTTATTGACTACACCAAGGCCTTTGACTGTGTGCATCACAACAAACTATGGAAAATTCTGAAAGAGATGGGAATACCAGACTACCTTACCTGCCTCCTTAGAAATCTGTATGCAGGTCAAGAAGCAGCAGTTTGAACAGAACATGGAACAACAGACTGATTCCAACTTGGGAAAGGAGTACATCAAGGCTGTATGTTGTCACCCTGGTTATTTAACTTATATGCAGAGTACATCATGAGAAATGCTGGACTGGATGAAGCACAAGCTGGAATCAAGATTGCCGGGAGAAATATCAATAACCTCAGATATGTAGATACCACCACCCTAATGGCAGAAAATGAAGAGGAATTGAGGAGCTTCTTGATGAAAGTGAAAGAGGAGAGTGAAAAAGCTGGCTTAAAGCTCAACATTCAGAAAACTAAGATCATGGCATCTGGTCCCATCACTTCATGGCAAATAGATGGGGAAACAGTGGAAACAGTGGCACACGCTTGTTTTATTGTGCTCCAAAATCACTGCAGATGGTGATTGCACCCTTGAAATTAAAAGACGCTTGCTCCTTGGAAGAAAAGTTATGACCAACCTAGATAGCATATTAAAAAGCAGAGACATTACTATGCCAACAAAGGTCCATCTTGTCAAGGCTATGATTTTTCCAGTGGTCATGTATGGATGTGAGAGTTGGACTCTAAAGAAAGCTGAGTGCCGAAGAATTGATGCTTTTGAACTGTGGTGTTGGAGAAGACTCTTGAGAGTCCCTTGGACTGCAAGGAGATCCAACCAGTCCATCCTAAAGGAAATCAGTCCTGGGTGTTCATTGGAAGGACTGATGTTGAAGCTGAAACTCCAGTACTTTGGCCACCTGATGCAAAGAACTGACTCATTTGAAAAGACCCTGATGCTGGGAAAGATTGAAGGCGGGAGGAGAAGGGGACGACAGAAGATGAGATGGTTGGATGGCATCACTGACTTGGTGGACTTGAGTTTGGTCCAAGCTCTGGGAAATGGTGAAGGGCCTGGAACCCTGGCAGTGCTGCAGTCCATGGGGTCGCAAAGAATCAGACATGATGCAGCGACTGAACTGAACTTATTTATTACTGTTTAAATCTATTGGTTTCTGTAACCATGTTTTAGATTTTTCTCAAAGCTTGTTTAAAATAGCAGAGATGTAGAAAAATGTTTAAAAGATTTCAGTAAATATGTTATAGTTGGAAAATACTGTTTCCCAAGGAAAAAAAGATGGAGTGCTTTTTTTTGTATGTTCTTACCATTTGGTGAAGCACCATATTGCTTTAAGTCCTTTGAAAGGGCATTTTTTTAATTGTAATTAATCACGTGAAATGGTATTTACATATGCATATTATTTTCATATGGTTAACAGCTATTCCTGACATATGTCACTTACTTTTGTTTAGATTTAGTTTAGTTTAGATTTGTTAGTAGGAATCATTTACTCCCAAATTTCACATAAGATATCAAGTAAAGTGTTTGTTTAGTTGTTTATTTTCAAGGCTTCTGTCTGCTACTTTTGACACACTGCACTTTGAACAGGATCGAAGTGTAAATTACTGGTTTTAATTGGACTTTTTTCTGCTCCATGCTATATCACAAATTAATTTTGTAAACTCAGAGGAGTCAGTTAATTATCTGGATTGTGTCAGTGTTTTTTTTGTTTGTTTTGAAAATTGATCCTATAATCTCCCAAAACATTTCTCCGTTGAATTTTGATGTGCGATGAAAAGTGAATTTTATCGGATAATTGGCAGTGACCAGCTCAGTGGTTGGACTGAGAAGAAACTCCAGAGTATTTCCCAAAGTTAAACTTGTAAGAAATAAAGGTCATGGTCTTTGTTGGATGGTCAGCTGCCTGTCTGATCCATGCAGCTTTCTGAATCATGCTGAAACCATTACATCTGAGTAGTATGCTCAGCATATCAATGAGTTGCACCGCAAACTTGAATGCTTACAGTCAGCATTGGTCAACAGAATGCGCACAATTTTTCTCCATGATAGCGCCTGACTGTATGTTGCACACCCAACACTTCAAAAGTCAAACTTCAAAAAAAAAAACAAATTGGGCTACAAAGTTTTGGCTCATCTGCCATGTTCAGCTGACCTCTTGCCAACCAGCAGGAGGCAGAAAATGCTTTCCAAGAGTTCATCGGATCCCAGAGCATGGATTTTTATGCTACGGGAATAAACAAAGTTATTTCTTGTTGGAAAAGTGTTGATTGTAATTGTCCCTATTTTGATTAATAAAGATGTCTTTGAGCCTATGATAGGGCCTCTGGTGGCTCAGACAGGAAGGAATCTGCCTGCCATACAGGAGACCCAGGTTCAGTCCCTGGCTTGGGCAGGTCCTCTTGAAAAGGAAGTGCCCCCACTCCATTAGTTTCGCCGGGAGAATTTTTGTGCACAGAGGAGCCCATGGGGTCGCAAAGAATTGGTCACGGCTGTGCAACTAACACTTGATCCTAGGAAGAACCATTTAAAATTCATGGTCTGAAACTGCAGTTACTTTTGTGTCAACGTAATAGTTGTTCCCTAGAAACATACAACCTACCAAGACCGAAGAAATAGAAATTTGAATAGATTATAGCTAGTAAGGAAATTAGTAGTAAGCAAAAACCTCTGAATAAGGAAAAGCATGGGACTAACTGGCTTCGCTGGAGAATTCCATCAAACATTAAAGAAGACACAACACCAGTTCTCATCTCTTCCAAAAAATAAGAGGAGGAGGAGACACTTCCAAACTAAATTTTAGAGGCCGGCATTGCCCTGAAACCACAGCCAAAAAAATAACCACAAGAAAGCTACAGATTAATATCCATATACTTATTTAATGTTAATTCAGAAATCCTGAACAATATAGTAGCAGACGAAATTCAAGAGCACATTAAAAGGATCATACCCTGTGACCAGCAGGGATTTATTACTGGAGTGTAAGTCTGGTTCAACATATGAGAATAAATCAGTGCCGTACACCACATTAACAGAGTGGAGGACAAAAACTCCATAATCATCTCAATAGATGGCAGAGAAAGCATTTGAAAATTGAATGCTGTTTGATGATAAAAACACTCAACAAATTACAAGTAAAAGGAAACTCCCTCAAAATGATAAGGCCATATATGAAAAGCCCACAGCTGACATTGTATACAACAAAAATTAGTTGCATTTCTGTACACTAACAATGAGCAATCCAAAAAGACAAGAAGACAGTAATGACATTTATAATAGCATAAGATAGAATGCTTGGGAATAAACTTAACCAAGAGAATATAAGATTTGTACAGTGAAAACTGCAAAACATAGCTGATAGAATTAAGACATGAATAAATGACAAGACACTTTGTGTTCATGGATTGAAAGACTTAATATTGTTAAAAATGATTGAGCAATCATTTAAAAAAATTTTGTTCATTTATTTTTGACTGTGCTGGGTCTTCATTGCTGTGCGGGCTTTTCTCTAGCTGTGGAGTGCTGGGCTGGCTCTCTGGTTGCAGTGTGCTGACTTCTCTTGTTGCAAAGCAAGGGCTCTAGAGTGAGCAGGCTTCAGTAGTTGTGGGCCATGGGCTCAGTCATCGTGGTTCCTGGGCTCTATGATACAGGCTCAATAGTTGTGGCAAATGGGCTTATTAGTTGCTTTGTAGCGTGTGGGATCCAAACCCGAGTCCTCTGCACTGGCAAGCAGATTCTTTACCATTCAGCCACCAGGGAAGACCCTGATTGAGCAATCTTACTTCCGTAAATATGTATGAGATAATTGAAAGGATATGAAAGAGCTGTTTGCACACCCATGTTCATTGCAGCATTATTCACACAATAGGTAAGAGGTTGAAGCAACCTAATTGTCTATGGATGAATGAATGAAGAAAATGATACGTATTTACAATGGAATATTACTCAACTTTAAACAGAAAAAAAATTCTGACACATGCCACAACATAGGTGAATCTTAAGGATGTTATGCCAATCACAAAAAGACAAATACTCTGTGACTTCCCTTGTTTGAGTCATGTAAAATAAAATAATCAAGCTCATGGAACCAGAAAGTAGAATATGATTGCTAGGGGGTTGGGGGGTGGGATGCAGGCAGTGGAAATGAGTTGTTATTCAATGGAAATTTCAAGTTAGCAAGAATTAAAAGTTCTAGAAATTTGTTATACAATAGTATAGTGTAGTTAACAACTGTACTATACACTTGAAAAATATTTAAGATGGTAAATTTTATTTTAAATGTTCCCTTTTAACAAAATAAAAAAGAGAAACAAAAAAGACAAAAATGGGAAAAAACAAAACATGCTTTGTAGGACATTAAATTTTACATTTTTTTAAAATGAAAATTTTTAATGTCAAGTTGACTTCCATTATACCTTTAAAATGAATTCAGACTACTTTAGAAGTAATTAAACATGCAGGGCTTCTCTTAATTGATATTATGGTCAATATTTGCCTTGAATTTTTACATTTGTGGTGATTTATAGTTAGATTTTCTTTTTGTGGCATAGTATCTTAACTGTTCTACTTTTTATTCTTAGGGTACATTTAAATTCAAAGCAGAAAGTGACCTGTTCCTTGCTGAGCATCACAAGCTTTTATTGTATGATGGCAAACTCTCTGGTGCCATTGCATTCACATACAATCCACGCGCCACAGATGCCCAACTCTGTCTGGAATCATCCCCTAAGGACAACCCTTCAATTTTTGTTCATTCACCACATGCACTCATGCTCCAGGTACTAGGAATGATATTTAACAATATTTTAATGGTAAATTTTGATGTATTATTGAGGTGTATTTGGTAGCTTCTATTATAAATACATGAATTGTAACATTTTATTGTTCCTGTTATATTTTATTTTTAATAAAATATATTTATTTTTTGGAAAAGAATCACTGGAATCTTTACCGTGTCTTCTGTTTTACAAGGATGTGAAGGCGGTTTTAACACATTCTATCCAAAGTGCCATGCATTCAATTGGAGGAGTACAAGTGCTGTTTCCACTTTTTGCACAGTTGGATTATAAGCAATATTTATCTGATGAAATTGACTTGACTGTATGGTGAGTCCTTTTGTTTTTTCTTTCATTTGATGTGAGTTATTCTCATCACTGAGCTGCACAATGTTTTTTTTTCAATCTTGTAAATTTGTTGTAGGGTTAATAAAGAACATAAATTTGTGAATTATAATTGTTATTACAAATTCAATTCTAATAATATTTAAATTCTTTATCAGTTGGAAATAGGGAGCTCTAAAAAAATAATGTTTTGAATAAAGTTAGACATGGTAATAATATCAGAAATGCATATATTTTTACCTAAAATGAAATATTAAGAGACATGAATTCTAGGACAAGTTATTAAAATGTCGGAGAGGATGTGGAAATGAATTTTTTGTGGCTATATATCCTAGTGAAACTATTTATAATAAAATAATCATGTTTAATTATTAATTGAGTGATTTTAATGTTTTTTGTATTCTCCCTTTTTGAAATTCTTTCTAATTTCTACTTTTGTATGCAACTTGAAGTCTACCACCAATGTATATGTTTAGTGTTGTAATAAATTTTCCAGATTATTTTTAGGCAACAAAATGAGTTGTTTTTCAAAGCAATTATGTATCAAAGCTAGTATTTATTGGCTACATTTAAAATAATTAAAATTATCCTTGACCTGTTGCTCCTTCATAAAGTTTTTTTGCATCCAAGTCTGAAACCTTTGTAACAGAGCTCAGTTGCTTTTTTTTTTAACTTTTCAACTTTATTAGAATTGCTGACAGTTAAAAAATAAGTACTTTTGTGGAGGAGGTTGGCTGTTCTCCCTTTCCTGGTGGGAATCTCTCAAAACTTTTGAGAGGGACAAAACAGTCGACCTTTATTCTATTCCATGTTGAGTATATAAAAGTTATGAGGTTGGAAACATGACTGTAGTCTTACTACTTTAAATTTTTCTGTTCAGATAATGAGGAAAATACTTAAATTATTATTTGAATACTTCAGTTTGCTCCCATCTGTATTTATCTTCCGTTTTACGTACCCTATCCTCTTCAGATTAAGCCAGTTTGAGGATTTCTGTCCTAACCTGTTTGGTCCCTGTCTTTTCCACCTGTTTGGCCTCTGCCTCTCCAAAATTGAATATACTTGCTTATCTAAGTTACATCCATTTCTTACGGCAAAGTAATAAACTTTTATTAGCCATCTTACTACTTGTTTTTGGACATTGCTAATTTTTCTCTATTTTGTGCATGTTTGTCCTGTTGTTTCAAAAGTAATTAATTTATTAATATATTTGTGAGAAAGAATATGAACTAAATATTTGAGTAATACGTCCTAATCTTACGTTAAAATTTTAGTCCTGAAATAATATTGGAGGTAGTTTTAGTAAAGCATCAGTTTCCTTGAAATAGAAACTTTTTATTAAGGGTAAGTGAAAGACTGTATTTATCTAACCACCTCCCCCCATTTTTTTTAAGAGAACATGGTTTTTCAAATGGTGGTTGTTGTTGTTTTCCTTATTCTAGTTCAACTTTGCTGGCTTTTATCATGGAGTTGTTGAAGAACTCAATTGCTATGCAAGAGCAGATGCTTGCCTGCAAGGGCTTCTTGGTAATAGGATATAGTCTTGAAAAGGTAAAGTATGAAATGCTTTACATTTTTGATTCTTAATTTGCAGTCCATGAAACTTGGTCTGCTAAGAAGCTGAGAAATTCTGTTTGCAAGTGTGTCTCTTTGGTTAATGTACAGTTACATAAATTAAAACAACCTGCTGCTGTTTTACCTTGCCCCCACTCTGTTTTATTGGATCTCAAAGCGTCTTTAACTTTGAGCATAGTTTGTGGGCCAGCTTTTTTCTGGTATTGACACCCTTTAACGTACTCCCCTTGCTTTGTGTTGGTAGTGACTTCTGAAATGTCTTCCTCTGCAGTCTTCCAAATCCCACGTCAGCAGAGCAGCACTTGAGCTTTGCCTTGTATTTTCAAAATACCTGAGTAATCTGCCGAATGGGATGCCCCTACTCAAGCAGCTGTGTGACCACGTTCTCCTTAACCCAGCCATATGGATTCATACCCCAGCCAAGGTAATGCATGCATTGATTTTGTGCTAGTATGTTCAATACATTTTTGTACTTGAGAAGAGTGATAATGAAGAGGATTTTCTTTTATCCTTTCACATGCTGTTGTGTAAGGTTTCAGTGGAATACAGTTTTTTTTTTACTAAATGTACTTTTTTTTTCTTTAAATTGGAGGATAATTGCTTTACAATATTGTGTGGGTTTCTGTCATACAACATGAATCAGCCATACATACATATATATCCAGGGCTTTCCTGGTGGGTCAGTGGTAAAGAACCTGCCTACCAGTGCAGGAGATGTGGGTTCAATCCCTGAGTCAAAAGATCCCCTGGAGACGGAAATGGCAACCCTCTCCAGTATTCTTGCCTGGGAAATCCCATGGACAAGAAACCTGGCAGGCTAAATACTCCATGGGGTTACAAAAGAGTTGGATAGGACTTAGCAACTAAACCACAAAAATAATACAAATGTCCCCTGCCTCTTGAACCTCCTTCCCACCTGACTAAATGTACAGGACAGTATTTCCTCCCTCCCTCCATCGGTCCCTCCCTTCCTAAAGCAGTATCAGCATTTTTTGAAATACACAAATAGTATATATTTCCTGTTGTTAAATAAAATTTTATTTGGGAGAGATTTTGATTTACATTTCCTTAACCATAGTTGGATTGCATATATATCTATGTGTCCTTATGTATGTATGAATGTATATACATGCATATAAATATATACTCATTGTGCTGTCTCTCTCTGTTTTATACATACATATTCCTTCCACCAAAATGATGAGCTACTGAGTTTAATTCTTACAGGAACAGCTGAAATGTCATCCTTTATTGAAGGCTTCCATGATGTGCTGGTCTCATTTAATCATTTTCATTTCACATTAATTAAAATTACTAAACACAATTATATTTTTTCAGTAGTTTAGTACTATAACAGCAAACCGGTTACATTAAGTAAACATAAGTGAATTTGTGATAAAATATGTAAATAAAACTTTTGATAAACTCTAATGTTCTATTAAGTTATCCTAAACATTTTATTTCCTCTCTCCCCCTCTCCTTTCTGGTTCACTTGCAAGTGTTTATCATTGTTCAGGTTGGAATAACACATACTTACTTTAGTTGTCAGAAAAAAATGTCTGCAGACTTTTTTGCTCTTCTGGAGTCATAGTATCTTATTTTCAGCTGCTCTTTTCAGATGTTAAGGAGAAAAACAGCTGCTGACTCTGATTGCCATTTGGAAATAATCAAAGGAGGCAGCTGGAGGTTGTAGCTTTTTATCTCTGGGTTCAAATTTGACCTCTTTCTCTTCTATGACCCCCAGTCTTATTTCTTTTCAAGGATTGTTTCAAGTTACTTCTTAAACTTTTTACTAAACACTTCTTTGTCTTACTAAGCAGCGCATTTGTAAGCCTTTGGGCCTCTTTTGATGTGGTCAAAAAAACCTCTTATTAGACACTTAGTTGTAGGGGAATATTTTAAAATTTTCATTATATCATTTCCTTAAGTCTGTAGTATTATTGCACTGTATTTCTTATATTTTCCTTGTTAATAATTTTCTTTAATTTCCTTTTTAGAATTTCAGTTGGTTTGTTAATATTAAACTCCAGTTTTGTTTCAGCCTTATGCTCTGTGTATCCTTGAGGGGTTATATCTAATTTTATCATAAAGGTAGTTATAGCAAAAGGCAGATATAAAGTTTGTTTGAGCTAAAGGTCATACAATTTGGGGGAGAAAGGAGCTTTTTAACAAAAAGAATGCAACGTGTAAAATTAGGTTTAGGATTTTGGAAGGAACATATGTAGATGAGTGGGCATAAAATTTAAGCTTTGTTAGCTTCATGATAAATTTACCTCTGGTTACCAAAGTTGACGGTATGGTCATATGAATCAGTCTTTGCTTTTGGAACAGGCTGCTCCTAGTCATTTATAATACTCATTTAAGTTTGATTTGCTCAGAGACAGTCTTTTAAATGACCTGACAAGAGAGATGAGTTTTCTTGTAGATAATAGTCTTTCATTTGTTGAGTAGCCAGCCCTATGGATACAGTGGTGACTAAGACAGATCTGATTCCTGCCCTCATACATAGAATTTAGGTGCAATGGGAAAGACATTTTCGTGTATAATTTGTGTGGTTATTAGATTATGTAAAGAGTGAGTGAAGAATTATTCATAATTATAATAATGTGTGATCCTGAGGTCTCTGTTCTTATTTACCTCAGTATGTTACTCTTCAATCCTATTGATTTTTCCTTAGCTGTAGTATCATTCTCAGGAGCCTGACTTTCTCCAGTTTTCCATATCTTAGTTTATCACCTTTTGTTAGAATTCCTTCATGCTTTCAACATATCACAGTCACTCTCATCAGAACATTTCTTAGCCCCCAAATTTGTAATGGTTTCTCTTTATTTTCAGAATAAAGCATTAAGTCTTCATGCCAGTTCTTCCTAGGCTTTCTATATGAAAAACCAGTTATCCTCAATGGGTAGGTGGGTACCAGAAGTTATCCTAGAGCAGTGGTTCTTAATCTTGGCTGTCTATAGAATTAGTTGGGAAAGGTGTTTTCTTTTTTTTTTTTTAATGAAAACAGAATTTCACTCCCCCTTCCCTAGATTCTGATTTAATTGGCCTGGGACAAGACCCAGATAGGTATTTTAAAAATATTTTCCAGGCATTTTAATGCAGGCAAGATTGAGGATGGTTGTTCTAGATCTAGGGAAACTTTTTGTATTATCTACAATTTTCTCTATTTGAAATTTCCTCTTATTTTTAGAACCACTCACTCATCTTCAAAGCCTACCACTTTTCTTGACTATTTTAGCTTACCCCAAAATAATTTCTCTGGCCTCTGAATTGATAGTATTTAATAGCTCTGTGGCACTTGTTTTGCAGTTAATTACATATTGCCACATGAGTGTTCTTACGTTTCAGTAGGGGTCTTCATTACCTTTGGTTTTTCACTTAAAATTGGGTGTATTTTTAATCTTCCCTATTATCTTTACCTACTGAGGGACAGTGTCTGCGCCATTGTATATTCACTAATACAGTGCTCCAAATACAGGTGAAGGTAAATATTTTCTGGTTGAAATATCACAGTTAAGAATTTGAATCATATCATAGAAAGTTCTGTATATCCTCAATAACAAGTAAGCTGGGGCTGTCTATTTGAACAGCAGTAGCAACATCAAAGTGATATCTTTCAGCCACTCTGTGGATTATAGCATGTTTATGATTTTCTAAACAACAATTGGATTTCTCTGCTGGTTCAGCAGTAAAGAGTCTGCCTGCCAATGCAGGAGATGTGGGTGTGATCCCTGGGTCAGGAAGATCCCCAGGAGAAGGAAATGGCAACCCACTCCAGTATTGTTGCCTGGGAAGGCCCATGGACAGAGGAGCCTGGCAGGTTACAGTCCATGGGTTGGGAAAGACTCAAACATGACTTAGCTACTAAACAACAACAAACCACAGTCATCTTTCGAACTTCGATTTTAAGTGGTTCAGAGTCTGCCATTCTTTACCATGTGTTGTTACTGATTGACTCCCTAATTCATTTAACCTTGATTGTTTATAGGGCATCTGGAATATAGGCACCTAATTTTTATCTTTCAGAGTTAAAAAGGAGAGTGCCCTCAACATCTGGGATTGTCTATTATGTTTAAACATAAATGTTCAGTTGTAAATGATCAGGAGTAGTTTGAGGTTTGGCCAAATTTAATGCCTTCCTTAATATTTCTTAGTTTATAAAGTATATCCACTAGCAGCGCAGTGAAAAATTCTTGATTTCTGTATGAAAGTAGAACAAAAGTGGTTTTTATTTTGTGCTGTTGTTAGTAGTATAGTTGTTTGAGAATTTTAGAGACTATAATATTATACAACAATCTTTGTCATAATGAGCTGCTATAACAAAATTCTGTTTTTCTAATAAACATTTCTTAAGGTAGGCTTTACATATTTTTGTATGATTTTCTTTTTTTGATCTATTTTTTAGTTACTCCTGCTTGTTTTTTTTTTTTAATTTCTTCTGAGTTATTCAAGCTGCTAGTTTTCTCCAAAACAAAGACAATTTTTAGCTTTTGAAAACAATTATGCAAAGTATAAATAGTATGTTTATTATAAAGAAGTAAGTTCGTGACTAATTGCTGATTGCAATTTTCTCAGCACTATAGGAATAGTGCTGCAAAAACGTGGTGTATGTGGTGATGTTTACTTCATAGTGCTGCTGCAAAAGAAGCATTTGCCTGGTTTTGTTTATAAGCAGTATGTGTGCTTGTGGGTATGTGTCAGTGGCTATATGTTGTCTGTTAACATGGAGGTTACTATCAAGCTACTTAAGCATCTTACTTTTTAGAACAAGTGTGGTCCACAACAAGTGTGAGCGTATTACTGGAAGGAAGGGTAGAATGCTGGTCTGTTTCTTTGATTTGAGCTCTCTATTTTGATTCTCTAGGTGCAGTTGACACTCTATACTTACCTGTCCACGGAATTCATTGGCACAGTCAACATATATAATGCCATTCGGAGAGTTGGGACAGTGCTTCTCATAATGCATACTCTGAAGTACTACTACTGGGCAGTGAATCCGCAGGATCGGAGTGGTATTACCCCCAAAGGATTAGGTACTTCATCTCTATCTGTATATTGTGTTACATATACATGGAAATTCAGGATTTTCCCTTCCCTCCCTCTTTCTTCCGTCTCTTTTTTCCTAAACTAATACATTACATTATTCTGAAAGTTTTCCTAAACCTCTTCATGGCAAAATTTTAATCTTGCTGATAATTTAATAGTTTGTCCTAAACTATTTAATGGTTTTTTAAAAATAGTTTTTATTAAACTATTTTATTAGTTTAAATAGTTTTTATTTAAACTATTTTTTGAATGAGTTGAGTTCAGTCGCTCAGTCGTGTCTGACTCTTTGCGACTATTAAATAATCTACTATTTAATAGTTTGTGGTTGCCAGAGATGAACAGCTCACTGTTTTTATAGAAGAATGTTACTTTTGCTAGTATGAGTTGTTTGGGGATCAAATATGACTAGGATGATTTCTAAGGCATTGAGGATGAAAGAAAATTCTATATTAGCAACTAGTATTGATTTTGAGTTCAGTTATCCCAATGAAAGTCATTGACAGCAGTGTTTTTTGAGATAATGGAGATTTTTTTGTAGGAGTAGGGAGTATCTGCTTCTAATAACTAATATAAGGAAACTACAGAATTTCAGTAATTATTTTCTGTATAATTGGAACTGACTTATTGGAAGACTAATGTTCATTCATTATGTCAACAGTTCATAGATGGGGTCAAAATAAAAGTTTTGACAAATAGTGCCTCGTTTAAAGTATTGAAAAACCTGATTAAAACTGGTTTGTATCATTGTTCATTGTTGTTCAGTCGCTATGTTGTGTCTTGTTCTTTGTGACCCCATGGACTGCAGCATGCCAGCCTTCGGAAGTCTTTCACTATCTCCTGGAGCTTGCTCAAACTCACGTCTATTGAGTCGATGATGCTGTCCAACCATTTCATCCTCTTTTGCCCCCTTCTCCTGCCCTCAGTCTTTCCCAGCATCATGGTCTTTTCCAATGAGTCAGCTCTTCAAATCAGGTCGCCAAAGTATTGGAGCTTCAGCTTCAATATCAGTCCTTCCAATGAATATTCAAGACTGATTTCCTTTAGCATTGACTAGTTTGATCTCCTTTCTGTTTAAGGGACTCTCAAGAGTCTTCTCCAGTAGCACAGTTTGAAAGCATCACTTCTTCGGGACTCTGCCTTCTTTATGGTCCAACTCTCACATCTGTATGTGGCTACTGGAAAAACCATAGCTTTGACCATATGGACCTTTGTCGGCAAAGTGATGTGTTTGGTTTTTAATATGCTGTCTAGGTTTTTCATAGCTTTTCTTCCAAGGAACATCTGTCTTTTAATTTCATGGCTGCAGTCGCCATCCGTAGTGATTTTCTGCATATCTGAGATTGTTGGTATTTCTCTCAGCAGTCTTGATTCCACCTTGTGATTCCTCCAGTCTAGCATATTGCTTGATGTACTCTGCATATAAGTTAAATAAGCAGGGTAACAATATACAGCCTTGTTGTATTCCTTTCCCAGTTTTGAACCTGTCAGTTGTTCCATGTCTGTTCTGTTATTTCTTGGCCTGCATACAAGCTTCTCAGGAGATAGGTAAGGTGGTATGGTATTCTTGTCTCTTTAAGAATTTTTCACAGATTGTTGGGATCCACGCAGTCAAAAGCTTTAGCATAATCAGTGAAGAAGAAGTAGATATTTTTCTAGTTGTTTTCTCCATTGTTTTCTCCGTAGTCCAGCATGTGTTGGGAATTTGATCTCTGGTTCCTCTGCCTTTTCTAAATGAAGCTCTAGGACTTATTTTTGCTGACTGTTAGAGCGTCTCCATCTTCATCTGCGAAGAATATAATCAGTCTGATTTTGGTATTGACCGTATGGTGACGTCTATGTGTGGAGTCATCTCATGTGTAGTTGGAAGAAGGTGTTTGCTATCCCCAGTGTGTTCTCTTGACAAAACTGTGTTAGCTTTTGCTCGGCTTCCTTTTGTACTCCAAGGTCAAACTTGCCTGTTACTCCAGGCTTATATTGTAAAAGAGGATTAACCATGGTTAATAGGCTGATAGTTTCAGTAGAATTTGGTGCAGGGGCTCAGAATATGGCCCCTGCTCTTTTCTCAGTTTGTCTCTCTCCATTTCCCAATTCTTCTGTATTGGCTCTTTTCATGTACTTTCTCTCTTTGTAGTAGCAGCAGCCACCCTACCTTCACATCCCCGCAACTTTAAATCTAGCAAGAGTATCTGTCTGTATCGAGCATTTCCAGCAAAAGTTCTTTTAGTCTCTTTGTTGCTCACTGGCGCTGATTGCATCGTGTGTCCATCTGCATGGCAGTGTTCTTCAGATTGCCCGGAAGAGGAGGCCCTTCTTACCCCCAAAACACATGATCTGAGTGTGAAGATGGGTTCAGTGCCTTTATAAGAATTGAGGGCTATTGTTTTAAATCAGGAGATAGATGCTGGAGAGTGAAACAATATACATTCTGATCTTTTACTCAAAGGCTTTGGTTATTCAGTGATTTACAAAGACGAGGTTTCATATTTGTACAATATTTTTTAAGATCCCTTTCAAAATAAACTAGGTTTATTATCAGACAATGTGCTATCATTTAGAAAGCTGTGAGAACACATCAAAGTTCCATGATCTTGTTTGAGCTGGCATGTTGCAGCAGATCTAGAACTAAATCATTATTTCCTGATGATTATTTCCTGATGGTGTAAGAGTGTCATGTACCGTCCTGGGTGTTTGTATTATATTCTGGCCTTGATTTTATAACTGATTAGTGATCTTGGGGAAGTCTCATACTTCAAGTGAGAAAGCTGGCCAAACTTTATGGTTCTGTTGTAACTCTGTAACCTTTCTTGTCTAGGAATCGTCATGTGGAACAAATTTTAAATAATTTTCTTCCTAGTTTAATTGATCTGTTCAAGGTCATGTTGGTCCTGTGCTTTGGTGGTCTAGGAACTAGCTGTAAATAATGATTAGTGGGGGGAAAATTGCAGAAAATATGAGGCAAGCAAGTACCTGAGTTAGGATCTTAGGACAATGAGTATTTGGTTTCAAAAGCTTTCTACTTAGGAATTATATGTTTGAGACATGAAAATTGACTTTAATGTGAGCCATGTGTGACCAAGGACTTTTTCAAAAAGAGCAGGAGATGTCAGAGGTGGTCAGCACAATGCTTCCCTCCTTCGTGGATGACATTGTGTTGAAGTGTACTTTTTGAGGGTTTTATATTAGCTTATACAGTGGTAACAGTAGAAAAGTTTTTTCAAACTAAGTTCATATGTAAAGTTTAGATTTTCTTTTGCTTTTTTTCCTTTGTAAACTTATGTTACCATAGTAAGATTTCCAGAGAGCCTTTTAAAGCTAAATGTAAATTTGTTACCTCATCTTTCTAGTTTGAAATTCCTTTGACCTTAGTCAAAAACAAATGTCTTCATTGCAGTTTCTGTGTAACTGATTTTGTACATTGGAAGCACTATGTATGCAATCACATTGAGATTGAATGCTTGTTTTTCTAGAGGAATTAAACTCTTCAGGAAAGTTACCTTTACGTTCCTTATAAATAAGTGGGAAAACTGTTGGGAACGGGAATTTTATACTTAGCTTTGAGGTTTTTGAAATACTCAATGTGTGTGTGTGTATGTGTTTGTCTTTTTTTAAAAGATGGACCACGACCTAATCAAAAAGAAATGTTTTCTCTACGAGCATTCTTGTTGATGTTTATTAAGCAATTAGTAATGAAGGTGAGTTCACATTTCTTATCCAGTAGCATGTGTTTATTGTAACATAATTTCACATAAAATGCTCTGTTGGTTTATTTATTGTTTGCTCTGTTAATGGGTTTACACAGTGGAAAATACTTTGAAAGGTATTTATTTCCTTGTTTGTTTTTTCTTATTGTTTCCTAGGCATATATCACTAAACATTAGTGTAGAATTAGAGATTGATAATTGTAAGGTATATTATATGAGTTTCTATTGGAGTGCAAGTGTATTCATACTTCATTCAGCAAGTCTTTACTGAGTTGCTCGTAGTTCCTGCTAGTCCTAGACCTGGTGATACAACAGTCGACAGAGCTGCTCAAAAGGAGGAGGCTTCATTTTTAAAGAGTCCCTGTACCTGGCATCCAGATTTTGAAAAATAATTTTCCTGTATAAAAATGTACTGGATAGAAATGATTACATTTTGTTCCATTGCCTTCCATTATCAGTAAAGTAAAATTTAATATTATTTTTCAGGAAGGTGTTTTGGTTTTATAAGATGCCAACATATAAATATATTTGTTCTCAATATCTTATTCAGTATTTTCCTATATCATTTTATTTTGTATTCTTTATAGTTTAATACTTTATTAGCTGCCACATAATATTGTGGTAAATGGACCTAACTGTTGGTATATCTTTCAGAATCAGATATCTTATTTCTATTTATTTAAAAATTTACCCTTTACATTGTCTCTTTATGTTCCTTCCTACTGTGTTTTGTTTCTAATTATCTTACTGCTCTTTTTTCAGATTTCATGTTTGTTTTATGATTAATAGTTGAGTAGCTTGAAAATTTTCATAATGTATTCATACTAAAAAAAGTGCAGTGTTTTTCCCGCTGAAATTACCACTCAGTTTTTAGTACTTGACATTTTAACTCGGTAATTTTAGAAACTGTTCATTTTAGTCTCCAAATTTAATAGAAAAAGATAAGCAGAGAAGTTATCTTCTGTATTTAAAGGAGTGACAGGTGTAATACCCTTATACTTGTCCTCAGTGATCATTTTTGCCTCCTTCAGGATTCTGAAGCTCTCCTAGATAAGTTATCATCTACCCATGTTACAAGGTGCCGTACACAGGGTGCTGATGTCTAATCTCTGACTTTCTCCATTGTGTTGCCTACTGCATGTCTTCAGTGCTTCCCTGAGTTTTCAGTTTACGTTTAGATTCTTTCTTTCCTTTTCAGTTTAGATTCTATATCACATTATTTTTTTATGTTTATAGCAACTGACCAAGTTGGCAAATCTCTGTATGTAATTTTCCTTTTCAAAAAAGTTTTTTATATGTAAGTATAAAATACTTGAATTATGTTTTTTAAGGATAATGGAGTAAAGGAAGATGAACTACAGGCCATTCTTAATTATCTACTCACTATGCATGAGGTAATGTGAATTTTATATGTTTTATTTTTTGAAGTTATGTTATGGGCTTTTTTAAACATAAAAGAGTTAAAAAACTCTCTCATTAATGATGTAATTATGCCTGTACCTGTGCTCAGAATGGAGAGTAAATTAGGAATGAAAGCTTAGCAATTTGCGTTGAAATATTCTTTATTACCACAATTTGCCTCTGTGAATAAGCATGAGAGGCTTTAAAAAGTATGAAAATAAGATCTCATTAACCTAATAAGACTAAAGAATAACCTAATAACCAAAAAATACTTTCAGTGTATATCCAGGTACCAGTATAATAAATGGAAAAATAGATAACAAAAATGACTACAAATGATTGGACTTTTGAATTCTTAACATACTCTTCCCACTGATTTTGCATAATCAGATACTGTTAAATCACTCATTTATAATTGATTTAAAATTATGTGGTTGCAAAGGAGGTTAAATAGGTTGAAATATCTGGAGTTTTTTACTTTATTGAGTTGGGAAAATTTGATATATGCCCAATGTAGTCTAAATAAATAATCTAATTAAATGTATTTTATATAAGTTAAATCTGGAAGTGAATTTCATATAAAGCATGGCATTTATATGATAACTTATATTCCTATGTATAATTCATGTTTTATAAGTTAGCATATTTGTTACATCATGAGAATAGTGCCTTTTAAAATCATTAGTAGATAAGAGATATGGTTTGGATCTGTCTTTGTTAATTGGGGCAGAAAAGAATGGGTTAAATTTCTTGGTAGCATCATGTTTGACCGAAACATTAATGAATATGATTTCTTTTTCCTCTTGAGTAGGGTAGTCTCTCTTTAGATTTTCTTGGCCATTCGGGACCAAAATATTTCATAACTGAGAAACTGGAAGTCACAGTGATCTGTTTTCCTTGAAACTATTAAATCAGATGTTTTTTGGGTCCTTCAAATCACACTTTTCCAAAGCCCCAGTGCCCTACCTCTAGATGAGTTATTTAGCATATTGAGAATTAAATATTGAAGTAGCTGCCACAGTGAGAATTAAAAAGCAGTGAGTGAAAACCTGGACGCAGGGCACCATAGAGATGACTTCCTGCTGCTTCCCTTTGTATCTTTGGGTTAGTAATGCCCAATAATGCCCTTATGATATACTGAATAGTCGACAAAGATTGTGAAGGGTTTTCTTGAAATTTTTAGATTTCAGAACTCCTTTGTGCTTCTTCTTGTGCTTTTCTGCAGATGTTATCAAATTATTCCATATACAGAAGTGTGTTCACCCAGTAAACATTTATTGATCATTTGGAACCTTTTCCCCCCACGTCTCCCTTTGTATCTGATTAAGCAAAAATAAAAGAAGCTGCATAGGAACAATTTTAAAATCCAAAGAGACACCAACTTTGTTTTAAGGCTGCAGTAGCTGATACAAAATCTCCTTGTTGCCTTCTCCAGTCTTCTCTCTGGAGATACAGCAATAAATTCAGAAACCTGTTAGCTAACGCAGGAGTTTTAAACATTTCTCCATTGCTTCTTTAACTACCTGTCATGCCTAACAGTGTATCATTTAAGATTTAAAACCACAAAACCAGAGAGGGGAGAAAAATACGCCACCCCAAACAAAAACCCACCTTAAAGTTTTGGGAAAAAATTTTGCTTCCCTGTTCTCCACTTGGGTGATGAGACCTGCACCATCACGGCAATGTCCATTTTCAAAAATGTCAAGAGGCAGTCTGTACGCAGATGGGCTTGCAGTGTATGTTTCTGTGGCCCAGGTGGTGAGTCTATGGTGTTTATCACATCATGTCTGCCTTGGACAAATTAAAAAATACAAAGATTATTATTGCCATGTATATAGATGTAGAAAAAGCAAGAGAATTCTAGAAAGAAACATAGAAAAGGCATACAAAAAAATAGCAAAAAAAAAAAAAAAAAAAAAAACCCAAACCAAAAANAAGAAAAAAAAAAAAAAAAAAAGCATAGAAAAAAAAATAGAAAAAGCAACAGAATTCCAGAAAAACATCTATTTCTACTTCATTGACTATGCTAAAGCCTTTGACTGTGTGGACCACAACAAACTGTGGAAAATTAAAGAGTTGGGAATACCAGACCACCATACCTGCTTTCTGAGAAACCTGTGTGCAGGTCAGGAAGCAACAGAATTGGATGGGGAACAATGGACTGGTTCCAAATTGGGAAAGGAGTACATCAAGGTTGTATATTGCCACCCCGCTTATTTAACATATACACAGAGTACATCATGTGAAAAGTTGGGCTGGATGAAGCACAAGCTGGAATCAAGATTGCCAGGAAAAATACCAATAACCTCAGATATGCAGATGACACCACCCGTATGGCAGAAAGTGAAGAATTGAGGAGCCTCTTGATGAAAGTGAAAGAGGAGAGTGAAAAAGCTGGCTTGAAACTCAACATTCAAAAAATGAAGATCATGGCATCTGGTCCCATCACTTCATGGCAAATAGATGGGGAAACAGTGACAGACTATATTTTCTTGGGCTCCAGAATCAGTGCAGTTGGTGACTGTAGCCATGAAATTAAAAGACATTTGCTCCTTGGAAGAAAAGTGATGACAAACTTAGACAACATATTAAAGAGCAGAGACATTACTTGGCTGACAAAGGTCCATCTAGTTAAATCTGTGGTTTTTCCAGTAGTCATATTTGGATGTGAGAGTTGGACTATAAAGAAAACTGAGCACTGAAGAATTGATGGACTGCAAGGAGATCCAACCAGCCCATCCTAAAGGAAATCAGTCCTGAATAATCATTGGAAGGACTGAAGCTCCAATATTTGGTCACCTGATGCGAAGAGCTGACTCATTGAAAAAGACCCTGATGCTGGAAAAGATTGAAGGTGGGAGGAGAAGGGGACGACAGAGGATGAGATGGTTGGATGGCGTCATCGACTCGATGGACATGAGTTTGAGCTTGGAGTTAGTTGGTGATGGACGGGGAAGCCTGGCGTGCTGCAGCCCATAGGGTCACAAAGAGCTGGACACGATTGAGGGACTGATTTATACTGATATCTTTAATACTAACAACAGATTATATGGGGCTTCCCTGGTGACTCAGATGATAAAGAATCTGCCTGCAGTGTAGGAGACCCAAGTTTGGTCCCTGGGTTATGAAAATCCCCTGGAGAAGGGAATGGAAACCCACTTCCATATTCTTGCCTGGAGAATTCCATGGACAGAAGCTATAGTCCATGGGGTCGCAAAGAGTTGGACATGACTGATCTCCTAACACTTTTTCCTAGATAGTATATGAGAACTGTCTAGTTACCATTTCCCATAAGATCTTATTTCAGAACTAGTTTCTTGAGAGACTTAGCGCACATTGTGGTCCTAGTTAAATAAATTTATAGTGATACACAGTATGTTCCCCCCAACACTACTACCATATTCCCAAGGTCTATTAGCATATTGAAGCCTCAGTTTGTCTTTGTTGTAATAAAACAGAACAGCCTGTTTGTCCTTCCCTGCCAGTTTCTTGGTAGAAGACAATGAAACGCACTCCAGTACTCTTGCCTGGAAAATCCCATGGATGGAGGAGCCTGGTAGGCTGCAGTCCATGGGGTCGCTAGGAGTCAGACGCAGCTGAGCAACTTCATTTTCATTTTTCACTTCCATGCATTGGAGAAGGAAATGGCAACCCACTCCAGTGTTCTTGCCTGGAAGATCCCAGGGATAGGGGAGCCTGTTGGGCTGCCGTCTATTGGGTCGCGCAGAGTCAGACACGGGTGATGCAACTTAGCAGCAGCAGCAACCAATTTCTTGATGTGTAATCATTCCTTAAAAAAAAAGAAACCTGTAAATCAATACCTGTTACAACAATGGAATATGTTTTAGGAAATCTTGATGCAGTGCAATAGTCATTTTATATCTTTGATTATGAAATTATTTGACTTTGGTGTTGTGTATTTTGAATTTTTAGATGAATATATATATATATATATATATGTAGTGTCTTTAAACAAGCGTATTTGTACAGAAGCCTACTTATTTTTTTGATATTCTAATTCATTATTACAAAAGTAGTCATTGTTCAAATAAGTTGTTTTTCCTTATTTAAATAAAATTCTAAAATAATTTTAGGATGACAATCTAATGGATGTCCTACAGCTGCTTGTTGCATTAATGTCAGAACATCCTAACTCTATGATACCTGCTTTTGACCAAAGGAACGGGTTACGGTAAGACTTTAACATTTCAAGAATTTTAATATATTTAATATAAGAGATTAGTTTTGAAATGATAGGTTCTTACATATGAAAATTGTTACTGGATCCTATAAAACAGGATATAAGATTCTTTTATTTCATGTCTTATGTTTTTTGAAAAATTCTTCAATGATACAGGATCTGTTACTGTTTACTAGGTGAGGACAAATCAAGCAAATCATTCCAGTGTTTGTATAGTTAATGCTATTATGCAGCTGTTGTAAGGTCAAATTCTCTAACAGACCTCTCTTTAGGTCCTAGAATAGTAATATACAATTGTAATCTAAGAGAAGATCTCCATATCTTTCCTTCAAAATATAACCTTTTCCAACCTTAGTCCCAAGTCATCATTGTATTAGTCTGCTCAGCATGCTGTAAAAAAATATCCTAGACCAGGTCGTTTAAACACCAACAATTTGTTTTCTCACAGTTTTGGAGACTGTAAGTCCCAGATAAAGGTGCCTGAAGGGTTGGTGTCTGGTGAGGGCTTTCCCTTTGTGGTGTAGGCAGCCTTCTTCCCACTGTGTTGACAGGGTAGAAAGAGAGAGAGAGAAAGCAGAAAGCTCTTTGTTTTCTTTTTAAATAAGGATGCTAATCCACTTGAATCAGGACCCACCGTTATGACCTCATTTAATTTTTGTTTTTTATTTAAAAGTTTAATTGGAGTATAGTTTATTTACAATGTTGTTAATTCCAAGTGTACAGCAAAGTGATTCAGTTGTAACTATACATATATCTAGTCTTTCTAAGATTTTTTTTCCCATGTAGGTCATTACAGAGGATTGAATAGAGTTCTCTGTGCTATACCTCAGGTCCTTATTTGTTATCTGTTTTCTCCCAAACTCCCCCTGTCCCACCTCCTAATCATAGTTCCCTGTCTTATCCTTAAAACTTCTCTGTCATATCTGCGTCTGGTTCTGATGATAGGTTTACCCCTTCAGACTGTATTTTCTTGCCTCGTTTGCATGTCTTGACCTCCTTTAACTTAACTGATTTCTTTTCCAAATGCAGCCACAGTTGAGCTTAGGAATTTAGTATATGAGTTGGGGAGCACATATTCAGTCTGTAACAGTTATCAGCAACAAAAGAGAATACTTCTGTTTTAAGTCTTTCATTTAATGAGAAGGTTTTTGGGGCACAAAAGTTTAACAGATACTTTGCTGAGTGATCAGCTGCAGTAGGTAATTTAATAATCTAGTTATAATAAATTTTCCATAACATGGATCATGGAGAAAGCGAGGGAGTTGCAGGAAAAACATCTGCTTCATTGATTATACTAGAGCCTTTGACTGTGTGCCTCACAGCAAACTGTGAAAAATTCTTAAAGAGATGGCAGTAATGGGAGTACCAAACCACCTTACCTCTCTCTTGAAAAACCTATAAATGGGTGAAGAAGCAGCAGTTAGAACTGGACATGGAAAAATGGACTGGTTCAGAATTGGGACAGGAGTACAACAAGGCTGTGTTTTGTAACCTTGCTTATTTAACTTATGTGGAGAAATGCTGGACTTGGATGAATCACTAGCAGGAATCAGAATTGCCAGGAGAAATATCAACCACCTCAGATACGCAGGTGACACCATTCTAATGGCATAAAGTGAAGAGGAACTGAAGATCCTGTTTATGAGGGTAAAAGAGGAGAGTGAAAATGCTGGCTTCAAACTCAGCATTCAGAAAATTAAGATCATGGCATCTGGTCCCATCAATTCATGGCAAATAGATGGTGAAAAAGTGGAAGCAGTGATAAACTTAATTTTCTTAGGCTCCAAAATCACTGTGGATGGTGACTGTAGTCATGAAACTAAAAGATGCTTGCTCCTTGCAAGAAAAGCTATGAGAAACCTAGACAGTGTATTAAAAAGCAGAGATAACCACTTTGCTGACAAAGGTCTGTATGGTCTAAGCTATAGTTTGTGCAGTAGTTTTGTACGGATGTGAGAGTTAGACCATAAAGAAGGCTAAGTGCCAAAGAACTGATGTTTTTGAATTTTGCTGGAGAAAACTCTTGAGAGTCCTGGACAGCAAGGAGATCAAACCAGTCAGTCCTAAAGGAAATCAACCCTGAATATTGATTTAAGGGTGGTTGGATAAGCTCCAATACTTTGACTACCTGATGCAAAGAGCCAACTTATTGGAAAATACCTTGATTCTGGGAAAGATTGAAGGCAAAAGGAGAAGGGGAAAGCAGAGGATGAAATGGTTGGATGGCATCATCAACTCAATGGACATGAATTTCAGCAAACTGGAGATAGTGGGTGACAGTGAAGCCTGGCGTGCTACAGTCCATGGGGTTAAAAAGAGTCGGACACGACTTAGCGACTGAGTGACGACAGCAAGCAGTCTTTTATTACACAGTTTTGGTTTGTTTTTCAGTGTTCTTTCTGTGTAAGATAGGAGATGACTTCATGCATTATACTTAGAGAGTGCATTTTCAGAAACTCGCCGAGAAGCAGAACCAAAAGTGTTCGTGCGCGCGCGCGTGTGTGTGTGTGAGAGAGAGAGAGACAGACAGACAGACAGACATGTATGTTAAGGAATTGGCTTATGTGATTGTAGAAGCTGACAGGTCCAAAATTTGCGGGGTAGGCTGGCAGGTGGAGATCCAGATAAGAGTTGATGTTGCAGTTTGAGATTTAAGTCTGTCTGCTGGTGTAATTCCCTCTTCCTCTAGGGAGGTCAGTTTTTTTTTTTTTTTAAATTATTAAGGCCTTTAACTGTTCCAATGAGGTACTCACATTATGAAGTGTAATTGACTTTATTCAGTCCACTGATTTAAATTTCAGAGTAAATGCTGACCTCATAGAGTTATTTGGGAAATACTTCCTAGCCCTAACCTATCATCTTTGCATCTAGTGATCTGTTAACAAGTGTTCATTTTTTGTTTTGTTTTATCAATAAAGGTCAATCTGCAAGTTCTGCCTATCCTTTATAGGTAGTTGTTCTCTTGTCACTTCATTTTTTAAAACCTCTCGTCTTGCTTTAAGTTTTTCTTATACATGCACCACTCAAGGGATTAAGGTGAGAGCTGGGTGATAATTCACATTTGTATAGAAAGACTTGATTGATATTGTGGCCTGAGTTTGTCCAATACATTGCATCTCTTAGGTCAGTTTGTGGCTTTTGAAGGTTTTTACACAGATCTTAAGGATTCTTCCCCTTTGTTTGCTCTTAGCTATTCAGCAGTCTCCTACCCTCTCTAGTCTGTGCGTGCTAAGTTGCTTCAGTTGTGTCTGCTCTTTGCAACCCAGTCAAGGACAGAAATGGTATGGACCTAACAAACAGAAGATATTAAGAACAGTTGGCAAGAATACACAAAGAAACTATACCAAAAAAAAAAAAATCGTCATTTTCCAGATAACTACGATGGTGTAATCACTCACCTAGAACCAGACATCCTGGAGTCCAAAGTCAAGGGGGCCTTAGGAAGCATCACTACCAACAAAGCTAGTGGAGGTGATGCAATTCCAGTTGAGCTATTTCAAATCCTAAAAGATGATGCTGTGAAAGTGCTGCACTCAGTATGCCAGCAAATATGGAAAACTCAGCAGTGGCCACAGGACTGGAAAAGGTCAGTTTTCATTTCAATTCCAAAGAAAGGCAATCCCANAAAAATGCTGAACTCAGAGAAACAGGGAGTAGAGTGGTACTGCCAGGGGCTGGGCAGTAGGGAATTGTGGAGGTGTTGGTCAAAAGGTACAGACTTCCAGTTATAGGGTGAATAAGTCTGGGGAATGTCCCTGGTGGCCCAGTGGTGAAGATTTTGCCTTCCAATGTAGGAGGTGTGGGTTTGACTCCAGTTGGGAAGCTAAGATCCCACATGCCTTGGGGCCAAAATACCAAAACATGAAACATGTAACAAATTCAGTAAAGACTCTTAAAAAGTGCTCTCCATCAAAACAAAAAAAAAAACTTTAAAAAAGAAACACATTTGGGGATCCAATATGCAGCATTGGAAAAGACCCTGATGCTGGGAAAGATTGAAGGAGGGAGGAGAAGGGGACGACAGAGGATGAGATGGTTGGATGGCTTCAATGATTTGATGGACATGAGTTTGAGCAAGCTCCTGGAGATGGTGATGGACAGGGAAACTTGGCCTGCTGCAGTCCATGGGGTTGCGGAGTCACGCACGAGTGAGCAGCTAAACTGAATTAGACTGTGGCCCACTGGGCTCCTCTGTCCTAGGGGATTCTCCAGGCAAGAATACTGGAGTGGTTTTCCATTTCCTTCTCCAGGCCTCTAGTCCGTCAGAACCCAGTTTCTTAATTCCTGTAATCTGAAGGATCGTTTTTCTCACAATATTAGCTATCTGAACTTCTGACAGAAAGTAACTCTGAGATATAGACCATGGGTCAGATTTATAAGAGAAAAGTGAAAATTCAGACTCTTACCTACAGAATGTGTAATGCCTAAGTATTAACTTCTCCACACCAATGCACCTGCTTTTGTGTGGTCTTCGGAGTACTTGGAAAATTACTTTTTCTGTTTTGTCTGTTGTTAATAGTTCTGATACATAAGACAGAAGCTCTGTTGTCCTTGCTCCATCTTGGTTAGTTGAATGTATATGTTCATCATTACACTGGCATTCAGAATATTTCACTGTTGTAAAAATCATCTGTGCTTTGCCTGTTCATCCTTCTCTCAGCACCCCCCCCCCCCCCCCCGCAACCCACAACCGCTAATCTTTTTATTGTCTCCCTTGTTCTGCCTTTTCTANCCCCCCCGCCCCCGCAACCCACAACCGCTAATCTTTTTATTGTCTCCCTTGTTCTGCCTTTTCTAGAATGCCATATAGTTAGCATCATTTACTGTGTATTTTTTTCAATTTGAGGCTTTCAATCAAAAGGCTTTTCATAGCTTGATAGCTCATTTTTTGTAGGCCTGAATAATATTTCATTGGTTGGATGTCTACAGTTTATTTATGCATTGATCAAGGACATCTTGGTTGCTTGCAAGTTTTTGCAGTTACATGTAAAGCTGGTATAAACATGCATATGTCAGTTTTCCCTGGAAATATGTTTTCACTTCCTTTGGATAAGTACCAAAGAGTGCAGTTGCTGGATCGTATGGTAAAAGTATGTTTAGTTTTGTGGGAGACTGCCAAACTGTCTTCCAGAGTGGCTATACTTTCAATTTCTTCTGAGGGTGATAATTTGTGTTGCTTCTCACCCTCACCAGCATTTGGTGGTGTTTGGCAATTCTAATAGGTGTTTTATTTTTGTTTTCATGTGCATTTCCTTGATGACCTATGATGTGGAGCATCTTTTTATATTCTTATTTACCATCAGTGTATCTTCCTGAATGAAGTATCTATTATGTCCTTTGGCTTGTTTATTGTTGGTATATAGGAAAGCAATTGACTTTGGATATCAATTTTGTATATTGCAACGTTGCTATAATCACTTACTATTTCCATGATTTATTTTGTCAGTCAGTCCTAGATGTTCTTTGTAGGTGATCATGTCATCTGCAAACACATATAGTGTTATGTGTTCCTTCGCAGCCTGTATACTATATTTACTTTTCTTGCTTTACTGCTTTAGGAAGAAAATTTGGTATGATGTAAAGGAATGGTGAGAGGGGACAGTTGTGCCTTTTGCTTGATCTAAGTAGTAAAGTTTTGAATTTTTTTCCCACTGAGTGTGATGTTTGATGTAGGTTTTTTGTAGATAGTCTTTATCAAGTTGAGAAAGTTAACCCTCTATCCTTAGTTTATTTAGAGTTTTTAACATGAATGGCTGTTGGATTTGTCAGATTTTTTTAAAATCTAATGATATAACTGATAACTTTTCTTATGTGTTTATATGATGATGATTACCTTAACTGATATTCAAATGTGACTATCCTTGTATACCCAGAATAAATCTCAGTTGGTCATTGTATATACTTACTTTTCTGGATTTGATTTGCTGATATTATGTTGAGGATTTTTTATCTCTATTATGTAAGATATTGGTCTAACATAAGATATTGGTAGTTGTAGCTTTTCTTCTGGTTTTGGTACAGGGTCATGGTGGCCTACAGAATGAGAGTGTTAGGAGTATTCCTTCTGCTTCTCTGCTATGATGGAACCGGTAGAGAATTGGTATAATTTCTTCCCCAAATATTTAGTAGATTTTACCAGTGAATTCCTCTGGGTTTGGTACTTTCTATTTTGGTGGTTATTCAATATCTTTAGTAAATATAAGCCTATTCATATCTTTTATTTTTTCTTGAGTATGTTTTGGCAGATTGTGTCTTTCAAGGCATTGGCTCATTGCATGTAGGTTATAGAAATTGTGGGCATAGAGTGCATATTATTCTTTTATAGAGGCATGGCCTCTGTAGTTATATTCCTCTTTTTATATCTGACATTAGTAAATTATGTCCTTTCTCTTTTTTCTTAGCCTCCAAGGAAGCTTATTGATTTTATTGATCTTTTTGAAGAATCAACTTTTATTTTTATTGATTTTTTTCCATTTTTTATTGATTTCTACTCCAGTGCTTATTGTTTTTCTTCTTCTTACTTTCAACTGAATTTTCTCATCCTGAAGCCCTAGAGTGAAAGCTTAGGTTACTGATTTTAGATCTTCCTTCTTTTCTGTTAGAATATATGTACTCAGTGCTGTAAATCTTCCTGTAAGTGCTGCTTTTGCAGCATCCCACCGATTTTTATAAGTTGTGCTTTCATTTTCATTTAGTTGAAAATGTATTTAATTTTTTGAAATTTCTTCTTTAACCCACCTGTTATTTAGAAGTATGTTGTTAAACCTTCAAGTATTTTTGTGTTTTGCAGCTATCTATTATTGGTTTCTAGTTTAATTTCATGTGGTTTTGGAGCTGGTGTTATATAATCTCCAGTCTTTATATTTGTTGTTTATGTGTTTTTAACGGTCCTGGATGTGGTCTACTTGGTGAATGTTCTGTGTGAACTTAAGAAAAATGTGTTTTTCTACTATTGTGCAAGGAAGTCATGTATGTGTGTGTGCTCAGTTGTGTCCAACTCTTTGCAACCCCATGAACTATAGTCTGCCAGGACCCCCCATGAAATTTTCCAGGCAACAATATTGTAGTGGGTTGCCATTTCCTACTCCAGCTGATCTTCCTGTCACAGGGATCTAACCCACGCCTCTCTCGTCTCCTGAACTGGCAGTCGGGTTCTTCACCACCGTGTCATCTGGGTAGCCTTGGAAGTGGTACATAGATATTCAGTGATATCCAGTTGTTTGATGGTATTTTTGAGATTAACTGTGTCCTTACTGACTTCCTGCCTGATGGATCTATCTTTTTCTGAGAAAGGGATTTTGAAATCTCCCACTATGATAATGGATTCATTGTTCCTCCTTGCATTTCTGTAAGCTTTTGCTTTACATAGTTTTAGGCTCTGTAGCTAGGTACATGCAGGTTAAGGACTGTTATATCATATTGGAGGATTGACCTGTTTATCATGATATAATGTCCTTCTTTATCCCTGCTAACTTTCCATACTTTGAAAACTGTCTGAAATTAATGTAGTTACTCTTATTTTTGATTAGTTATTAAGACGGTATATTTTTGTCCATTCATTTACTTGTTATCTATATATATATTTATATTTAAAGTGGATTTCTTGAAGAGAACATAGAGTTGATAAGCAAATTTCTAAATGTTAGAAATGTATATTAAATTCGCTCATATCTTACTTGAAGATAGGTTTATAATTGTGTGACTAAGGTTTATAATTATGTGACTATATGAAAAAAATATACATATATAAGATATTTACTTTGAAAACATACTCGTAGTAATTTGTTTTTAATTTTAATTTATTCAGTGTTGTCTATAAACTTCTGGCATCAACAAGTGAAGGAATCAGAGTACAAGCTCTCAAGGCAATGGGCTATTTTTTAAAACACCTGGCCCCAAAGTGAGTATGCATGAAATCTCAAATGAACTGTTGCATATTACATATCAATGTTATAAATCTTTGGGATAGTATTTACATTGTGGTTCCTCTAGTCTGTTTTTTATTTATTTTTATTCATGAAATTCTACATAAGTTTAGTCCTCTTTCTACATATTAAAAATAAAGTAGGAAACAGGAGTATATTGTTTCTGTTTATATTTTAATTTTTCTTCATTTTGTTCACTATGAGAATACATTTGTATAAGTTGAATTCTAAATAAATCTAGGTACGGACTTCTTTTCAGGTGGCTTGATCATCATTTGCTTTATCTGTAGTATGTAGCTAACAGAATTAACTGGGATATTTGTCACATACTGTATTCTGTTATATGTATAACTAAAAACTGAAACCTCCATGCTTCTTTTCTTAACTGAGTGCAGATGTTCATGTCCTACCTATTGTTCCTTATACCAGAATTGGTTTATTATAAAAATTAACAGTTTTGGTGGTAGAAAAATATTGGTAAATTTGTAGTCTGTGTTGAATCCAGCTGACTGACTGTAAATAAGGTTACATTGGAACACAGCCACAGTCATTTATTTGCTTATTATCTATGGCTGTTTATACAACAGCAGTGTTGAGATATTGCTACAAAGAGCATGGTACACAAAACTGGAAAAATATACTATCCAGCCATTTGCAGAAAACATTTGACAAACGCAGTGGTAGAATTAAGTTTGTAATCCTTCAGTTTCTTAGTTTTTGCTTGAAAGTTTAATTTTAGTATGTTTATCGTCACAGTGTTTATTTTAAAATTCTCTTGCAGGTCTTCTACCTTTTCTTCCACATTGATTTTCTACTTCACTTATTTGGCTTTAGATTATTATTCATGGTGCTGCTAATTAGTAAAAAATTGCTGTGAAGATTTTGCTTTAGATTTTAATCCATGGTTCAGTTCAGTTCAGTTAAGTCTCTCAGTCATGTCCAACTCTTGGCAGCCCCATGGAGTGAAGCATGCCAGGCCTCCGAGTCCATCGCCAACTCCCGGAGTTTACTCAAACTCATGTCCATCGAGTCAAGATGCCATCTAACCATCTCATCATCTGTCGTCCCCTTCTTCTCCTGTTTTCAATCTTTCCCAGCATCAGGGTCTTTTCTAATGACTCAGTTCTTCACATCAGGTGACTAAAGTATTGGAGCTTCAGCTTCAGCATCAGTCCTTCCAATGAATGTTTAGGACTGATTTCCTTTAGGATGGACTGATTGGATCTCCCTGCAGTGCAATGGACTCTCAAGAGTCTTCTCCAACACCAGAGTTCAACAGCATCAATTCTTCGGCGCTCAGCTTGGCTTTATAGTCCAACTCTCACATCCATACATGACTACTGGAAAAACCATAGCTTTGACTAGATAGATCTTTGTTGGCAAAGTAATGTTCAGTGTTCAAAAAACAAAGATCATGGCATCCGGTCCCATCACTTCATGGCAAATAGATGGGGATACAATGGAAACAGTGAGAGACTTTATTTTCTTTGGCTCCAAAATCACTGCAGATGGTGACTGCAGCCATGAAATTAAAAGACACTTGCTCCTTGGAAGAAAAGCTATGACAACCTAGATAGCATATTAAAAAGCTGACAAAGGTCTGACTAGTCAGAGCTATGGTTTTTCCAGTAGTCATGTATGGATATGAGAGTTGGACCATAAAGGAAAATGAGTGCTGAAGACTTGATGCTTTTGAACTGTGGTGTTGGAGAAGACTCTTGAGAGTCACTTGGACTGCAAGGAGATCAAACCAGTCCATCCTAAAGGAGATCAGTCCTGGGTGTTCATTGAAAGGACTGATGCTGAAGCTGAAACTCCAATACTTTAGCCACCTGATGTGAAGAACTAACTCATTGGAAAAGACTCTGATGTTAGGAAAGATTGAAGTCAGGAGAAGAAGGGGCCCACAGAGGATGAGATAGTTGGATGGCATCACAGACTCAGTGGACATGAGTCTGAGCAAGCTCTGGGTGTTGGTGACAGACACGGAAGCCTGGCATGCTGAAGTCCATGGGGTCGCAAAGAGTCGGACATGACTGAGGGGCTGAACCAAACTATGAAGATTTTGGTGATGATTTTTGCTCTGCTGTGGAAGAACCAGTCCCATTTTTCTTAAGCTTTAATTGTTTCCATATCGTAGTTTGTATTTCTGTACTTAAAGATTTTGTGGCCTTGTAAGTTCTAGGTTGACGGAAATTGGGGGCATTATTGAGTTGGAATTTGTTACTATTGTGAAAAACATTTTTGTGTCTCCTTCATCAACTAAATAGTAAAATGTTGCGTTTGGTTTTTTTTTTCCCTGTGTAATTGCAGAAGAAAAGCTGAAGTCATGCTTGGACATGGGTTGTTTTCATTGCTAGCTGAAAGACTCATGCTTCAGACAAATTTAATCACAATGACCACATATAATGTCCTTTTTGAGGTAGGAATGCATGAGCATTTAATCTTAACTAATTTTTATCTAAAAATACCTGTATAATTGAGTTGACTAATGTTTAGATGAAATAAAAGCATTTAGATTTGATGTGTGATTTTGAAACTAGTTATTTAAAGAAGCTGAACTATATCTTAATAAATATGTTAGTCTGTGAGTTATTTAACAGTGTGGACATCTCTGTTTAAGTATTTTCTCCATTGTATTGACTATTTGATGTCTCATTTTATAATTAATTTAAAATAGGTTATAATGTTGATTAGTGTTGTACTTAAAGTTCATTAATAGTGATAGTGATATAGTGATTATGCTAATCCAATCTGGTGCTTCATTTCTGTAGATTCTCATAGAACAGATTCACACTCAAGTGATACATAAACAGCATCCAGATCCTGATTCTTCAGTAAAGATACAGAATCCTCGTATGTATTTAATATACTTTGTTTTTGATATTTGTTTTTTGTTTTTCAAGCTTTATTGTTAAATAATTGACATACAACGTTGTGTAATTTCAAGGCGTACTGTGTAATATGTTGATATACGTTGTGAAAGGATTACCACAGTAATGTTAGTAAGCACACTCATGGCTTTACATAGTTTTAATTTTTTGTGTTATACGTAGTGAATACCCTTAGCAACTTTCAAATGCATAATGCAGTATTGTTATCTGTTGTCTCCAGGTTAAAGATTATATTCACAGAACTTATTCACCTTATAACTGGAAACTTCTGGTTTTTGAGCACCTTCACCCATTTCTCCCATTGCCTTCCTTTTAACTTATTTTTTATAAGTACATTTTGTTACGAAAAGGAAAGGCACTGAAGAACCTAAAGTTGATATTGTTGAAAACACATTGTTTAGATAACATTTCATTATAGGAATTAATATAATAGTAGTTTTGTTTGTGTTTGATGTTGACTATAATTTCAAATTGACCTTAAGTCATGGGGAAATGTTTATATAGAGATTTTCAAGAATTATATGCATAAGATCTATGTTCAGATTTTTGGTAAAGTTTTGATTGTACTATTTAGGTGATGTCAGGCTAAGTTACATGGACCATGAAGGTGGCTTTCATTTTAAATTCCTGTCAAGTTTAGAATATGAAGTGTGGAATTGAAAAACATCTGTCTTCTTAATTGTTTAAGAACTTAGTCTTGGTTAATAATCTTTTCTTTTGATATTTAGAATTCTTAAGGACTTATAAAATGTGTACATTTCTCATCTTTTTAAGATTATTGATATTAAAACAACTGGTTTGTGGAATTTATAAATGTAATTACTTTTTGTGTGGTGAGTTGTGTTCATGTTTGTGATACTATTTCAGTACTAATTTTAAAAACACATGTCATGTGTGTGTTTAATTTTTCTTCACTTTCAAGGAATTGTGATATCATTAGTTTATAAAGTAAAAAAGGAAAAAATACCTCAATTATATTGTTGTTCAGTCTCTCAGTCATGTCCAACTCTTTGCACCCCCATGGACTGCACCATGCCACCTTCCCTATCCTTCACTATCTGCTGGAGTTTGCTCAAACTCATGTCTGTTGAGTCGGTGATGCCATCCAACCATCTCATCCTCTGTTGTCCCCTTCTCCTCGTGCTTTCAGTCTTCGCCAGCATGACAATCTTTTCTAATGAGTCGACCCTTCACATCAGGTAGCCAAAGTGTTGGAGTTTCAGCTTCAGCATCAGTCCTGCCAGTGAATTTTCAGGCTTGATTTCTTTCATGTTGTACTGATCTGATCTTCTTGCTGACCAGGGGACTCTCCAGCACCAAAGTTTGAAAGCATCAGTTCTTTAGCACTCAGCCTTCTTTGTGGTCTAGCTCTCATATCTATACATGACTACTGGAAAAACCAAAGCTTTGACTATACAGACATTTGTTGGCAAAGTGCTGTCTTTGCTTTTTTAATATGCTGTCTAGGTTGGTCATAGCTTTTCTTCCAAGGAGCAAGCGTCTTTTAATTTCATGGCTGCAGTCACCATCCACAGTGATTTTGGAGCCCAAGAAAATAAAGTCTGTCATTGTTTCTATTTTTTCCTTATTTGTTTGCTTTGAAGTGATGGAATTGGATGCCATAGCCTTCGTTTTTGAACGCTTAGTTTTAAGCCAGCTTTTTCGCTCACCTCTTCCACCTTCACCGGGAGGTCCTCTTTGCCATGGTGGTGGTGTCTTCTGTGTATCTGAGGTTACTGGTATTTCTCTTGGCAGTCTTGACTCTAGCTTGTGCTTCATCCAGCCTTGATGATATATATAGTATCAGATATATTTTATGTAGTTATGGGAAGGATGACTTATTGAAGTCAGAATTTTAAAATATATTGTCTGTGTCATATAGTAGCAGAAAATATAAGCTGTACACTGTGGTATTTAAAAAATGGGATGTCTAGCTTTTCAGTCTTAACAGGTAAGTGATTTTTGGGTACATTAATTTACCCAAATGGGTAATTAATAGTATCTCTACAATCTGGGTGATAATAGTATCTAGTTATCATTTTGTGAGGATTATATGTATTAATATCTGTATTTTCTAAAAAAGTATCTCACAATAGTATATCCTCAAAGTTAGTGGATATTATCATCATGGTAATCATTGTTTTGGTAGAGAGAATTTGAATTTGTCATTAGAAGATTTCAGAAATTGCTCCTAAAATGTCATTAAGTTTATGATAAAATATCTTTTATTTGATATTTTGAACTTGCTGCTCTAGAAGCACCAAAAATCTTGGCCAAATGCAGGATTTCTTTTCTTAAAATTTATAGTATAAATTTAGTCAGTATTTAAGAGTATTACAGGAACACTTATTTATTGGGGGTGTTTAATAGGTTTTAATTTACTTTTCATATTTTTGTATCTAATTTTACTTTTAAAATTAAGGAAGAAAATCTTGATAGCTTATAAAATGCACAATGATAAGGGAAAAAGTAGGGCATATTACATATATTGTTGAAGAAGCTAAGAATTCTTTTTTCTGATATTTTGATTTTATATATATGTTTTGAGTATTCAAAAAATTTTAAATATATATATTTTAAGATCAACTTTATTATCTGGCAGAGATTATGGAGAGGTGTCAGCAGTCATTGAATTCATTTAGAATTTAATTTGATTTACTACAAAGTTTTTAAATTTAGGTATTCTGTCTAATGATGCAAATAAAAAATTCCTTTCTTGTTTATATATGATTTCTAGTGAATGTTTTGACAGTCTTGTTTGCAGATAATTTTTTTATAACAGAGAAGAGGGTATTTTAGGTAGACATTTATGTCAGGGAAGTAAAAGAAATTGAATATAGTCATGATCTTGCATCATGAATGTTTTGTAATGTTGTGGTTTTTACTAATTTATGAATTGTCTTACAGAGATATTAAAAGTAATTGCAACCCTACTTCGAAATTCTGTCCAGTGCCCAGAGAGCATGGAAGTTCGCAGAGCATTTCTTTCTGACATGATTAAACTTTTTAATAACAGTAGAGAAAATAGAAGGTAAGCAGGATCAGTTACCTTTTATTTGCAGTGTTCAAGTCTAGCTTTGAATAAGCCTGTATTTTCTAGGACAATTTGCTTTAAATACTATGAAATGAACTTTCTATATGCTTTATATTAAAGTAGTACAAGTAATATACCATACATTTATTTCAACTTTCAATACCTCATTGTTTTTAATTGTTTTGTATACATAATAAAGCTGGTTGTTTTGTTCATGTTGTTTTAAACTTCTACGTTTTTAGAATTCTTTGAAGTTGATTTACTTTTTAAGTAATTCAGCATCCTCAATATTTTCAGGAGTTTGCTACAGTGTTCTGTGTGGCAAGAGTGGATGCTTTCTCTCTGCTATTTTAATCCTAAGAATTCAGATGAACAAAAGATAACAGAAATGGTTTATGCCATATTCCGAATCCTACTTTACCATGCAATCAAATATGAATGGGGTGGCTGGCGTGTGTGGGTAGACACTTTATCAATCACACATTCAAAGGTAAGTCTTTTTAAATGACAGTATATTTTAGCAGTTTAAATGTCTGTAATTTTGATTCTCTAACAAAATTTTATATACTTAAAAAGAAGGGAAGAAGGCAGATTACACTTTGGAAGCATAGTGAACAACTGAAACAAGGGCTAATTAAGAAGAAAGATAAAATATTTCTAAGTTCCTCAGAATCAGAACATTTTTTTTTTTTAATGTCATTGTTATGTGTGCTTAAAAAAGTGAAACCTTGTAACACACATAGAAATTTGTATTTTCAATTAGCCATTTTCAAGATACGGTTTTCTGAATTTTACAGTACTTTAAACCTTTTTGAACACAAGGTGGCGTACAATATTCAAAGATGAGATGTGTTTTAGTAATATAAGGTGGTTAAGTAAACAAAAAGCTCTAGCTAATTTTGCGTTTGCTCATCTTTTATAGTCTGTTAAAAAATTTGTTTGAAAATCTACTAGTCTTTATTTTAAATAAAAACACCTTAATCCAGTGTTACTTACTTATATATAGCTTTTGTTTAAAAATATCAATGAAATGTCCTAGATATATAAAAAGTTAGAAGGAATAATGTACCTGCCATGTTTATGAGAGTGGGTTCTCCATCCCAATTGCTTTGTCTACTATTTTCAGCCCCTCTCTTCTCTCCCACTCACCTGAATTTGGTGCTTTCATTATTTCTGTGTCTTATGTGTATTTTTAATTACACACATGTTTACCACACTGGAGAATTTCATTTTTCGTATGTATACTTACTATAGATAACGGTTGTATGAAATGCATTTTTCGGTAACTTTCTGTTTTTACTTATCACTCTTTGAGGTTCATGCATGTTGACCTAGGTGGTTGTGTCCTTTTTCTCAGTTGTACGTATTCCACGGTATAATTTCATCTGTTTATCATTTTGATGAGAATTTTTGATGTATTTTGTATACATGTGAAAGTTCCTTTCTAGAATTGGAATCGATAATTTGTAAAGTGCAGATGTGAAGCATTACAAGATACACAATGCCTTTTCCAAAGTAGTGTATCAGTTTATATTCTTGCCAGTGATGTATAAATACTCACGTCTTCATATCACCTCATTACTTGTTATGGCTGGAGCTTAAAAAATTCCAAATATGATGAATTTTAAATGCTGTGTTTCCCTAATTTTAATCTGCACTTTTTTTCTTTTGTGGGAGTTCTTCATATATTCTTGGTCTTAATCCTTTGTTACCTATATTATTTATGAGTGTCTTCTGTCAATTTGTTGCTTTTCTTGTTATGTTTGGAGTTTTATGTTTGGGTCTTCTGAGGAAATTTTACATTTCAAATAACATTCAGTTAAATATTCAAATGAAAATTCTGTTACATTTATTAGCTTTTATTCTTTATATATCTTACTTAGGAACTGCACATAGACCCAGAAGTAATATAATTAGCAAATATTAATATTAATTATAAATTGACTAGAAGGATAAAGAACAGAAGTGATAAATTTAGTGTATCTTCATTTTTAGTAAATAATCATTTATCTGTATCTGGCTGCATCAGGCCTCAGGTGCCGCATGCAGAGTCTCCACCCCGTCGTGTCAGGTCTCCCCGTGTGGGGCATGGACTCTAGTTGCGGTGTGTGGGCTTAGTTGCTCTGCAGCCTATGGGGTCTTAGTTCCCTGATCAGGGATTGAACCTGCACCCCTGCACTGCAAGGCAGATTCTTCACGACTGGACCACCAGGGAAGTCCCTGGTGTATCTCTAAATGTTTTATTTTACTGACTATCATAGTTATTGCTCTGGAATAGTTTCCGTGTCTATTGGAATATGGGCTTCTCTCATAGCTCAGTCGGTGAAGAATCTGCCTGCAAAACAGGAGACCCGGGTTCAATCCCTGGGTCGGGAAGATCCCCTGGAGAAGGAAACGGCAACCCACTCCAGTATTCTTGCCTGGAGAATCCCATGGACAGAGGAGCCTGGCGGGCTACAGTCCACGGGGTCTCAAAGAGTTGGCCACGACTTGGCGTCCAAACCACATTGGAATATGTTGTCATTTCTTAAATATATGTTCTTGAATGTTTAGATAACTTCAGCTATTTGAAGTACTTAGACGTTATTATTAATTCTGCTTCCTCCCTCTTCAGTGAGAGAAAGATGTATTGCTATTGTAAGGATTTACAAAGGTATCTTAGATTACACCACAATCTTGAGAATAATCCAGTGCTAAATGAGGCAAAGATGTGATTTTAAAAAATGGCTTTCTTTTAGTCTCTGCATTTTTAAGCTAATCAGTTTAGTGAAAGGCAGTCTTCAAAGAATTGTGGCCTAAGGGCCAAATCTGGCCTGACCTGTTTCTGTCAATAAATTTTTATTGAAACACAGCCACTTGCATTTATTTATGCATTTTGTATGACTGCTTCCATGCTACAAGTATTGAGTATTGTGACAGAAACTTTTTTGCCCCTATGCCTAAAATATTTACTATTTGGCACTTTACAGAAACACTTTGCCACCTCTTCTCTGAATTATTTTAATTTGTGCTGGTACCCAGCTATTCTGATGTCTGCTGTAGTGAGCTATTGCAGTCTGGTCTGATTTTCTCCTAGTAGTATTTTTTCCTTTACTACTTCATGAGAAAAATAGGGTTAAGTTTAGATCTCACATAATTCAAATTTATCTGGATTTCAAATATATCTGGGAGAGTTCTCGTTTAGGAAAGTGTGCTGTGAATTAGATTTTAATAATTTTATGCCTATTCCCTGTTAATTCAGCACTTTTGCATACACTTTAGTTTATCATGTCCTTAGGAAGAATGGCTGAAGGAATATAATCTTTAGAGCAGTAATTCTTGAAGTACTATCTGAAGACCTCGGGACCCCAGCAGACCACTTCAGAGAGTGGAGGGGTGCACCTTTTCCAGCTACATATCTAGTTAGAAGATAGATTTTTCTTCATGTACTGCAGTCTGAACAATATAATGCAACAGACTGAATACAAAAGCAGATGTAAGAGTGTAGGTATCTTCTATTATGCCAGAATTGAAAGAGGTTTGCAAAAAAATAATAGCAAATGAAATTTGTGAAATAATAGCACTCTTCTCATTTTTATTATTGCTTTGAAAAATGCCATTTATATTAATAGATCTTGGGTTTATTGCTATTTTCAAAAAAAATTAATATTTGTAAAATTTCTTAGCTTTAATTTCTAATGTGGTAACTAATAATAGGGGCTTCCTTCATGGCTCAGCTGGTTAAGAATCCGCCTGCAATGCGGGAGATCTGGGTTTGATCCCTGGGTTGGAAAGTTCCCCTGGAGAAGGGAAAGGCTACCCACTCCAGCTTTCTGGCCTGGAGAGTTCCATGGACTGTTTAGTCCATGGGGTCACAAAGAGTTGGACACAACTGAAGACATGCCCCATATAAATAAGTACTTTGGATCCTGAGACCAAAATGCTTGAGAAGTGCCAAAATCATTGACTGTTTAGGGCCAGTAGCCTAGTCTCTTAATTATTTTCTATCCACAAAACAAAAGGGGTGGAATAGAAGATATCTCACCTTAGCTTTTGAGTGTTTATAGTTAAATATTTATATCCAGTCGCCAGTCTATTTGTGTAAGTAATGAAGATAGCATGGACTTTGGAGTTAGGCTGGTCCTGGGTTTGAATTCTGATTTATAGTAATTTATAGTTTGTAAACTCAGGGAAGTTTCTAAACTTTTCTTAACGATCAGTGTTAATCTAGAAATGGTAAAAGTGGTAATTAATGTGTTTATCTGACTTTAGGAGTTAATGAATGAAGTCACAGCAAATGAATTTAAATGACAGTTTTCCTTTGTTATAGCCCTGTCATTCCTCCTGCTAATCCTTTGTTCTGACTCTTAGTGCTAGCTTATTAGTAAGGCCCTAATACTTCATATTTGATATAAATACACATTTTTAAAAATTTTCTTTTCAAATGAGTTAGTTACATCCAAAATCATTTGTGAGGCATATATGCTATGAAGTGAAGGAAGAATTGTGACTACCTGACTTAAAAACATGCTTCATGGTTCAACCTTTCCAACCCCCACTCATCCTCATTTCCTTCTTGAAAAGTTAAAAAATATGTATTCGTAAATAATATAACCTCTTATATTGCCTATTTTTATATTTTATGAAAGTGACATTGTACTGTGTGAACTCTTCTGTTATTTTTCTCATCAAGCCTTTTATTTCTAAGAATCTTTTTTATTCTTAATAAATAAATAAATTTTAAAAAAGAATTAATCAAAGTCGTTAGTGTGGGAGAGAGTTGATTGAAGCCAGGGATGGGCAATCCTTGGCCAAATCTGGCATGCTTCTGTAAATAAAGTTTGATTGGAACATACAGAAAAATCTTTTTATTCTTATGTATAGCTTCTTTCGTTCATTTTCACTGCTGTGAATAGTCGGGTGCCCAAAGGCAAAGGCTTTAATAGAGGTGTCATTTTCAAACTTCATGTAGCTGTTGTTCCCAGTAAGAAATTTATTGTGATGAGTTATGTGTGTGTACATACATGTGCACACATGTCCACCTCTCCCCCCACACACCTGAAATAGAGCTTGATTCTATGAGATAGTGTTCACTCTTACTAAATGTTGGTATGGAGTTATTTTTGATGATGGGAATTCCTTAGTTGTCCTGGAGTAGCTGCTGGTCATGAAATCCCTGTTCAATCCCTGGTCGGAGAACTAAGATCCTGAAAGCTGTGCGGTGGAACCCCTCCCCCGCCCCGGCAAAAATGCTGATGATACCTCAATAAAGTGATTCCATGATTCACCAAATGAAATATCTTTAATGTGAAGAAAGCTCTGCTCTAGGACATATTAGTAGGAATAGAGTTGCTCTATCTTCTAACTTTTGATGCTGTCATAAGTAATGTTCTGTCCTCTAACTTTTGATGCTGTTAGACTTCTTATTTTTGCAGGCTTTTGTCTTTTGCCTGCTTTGAAAGTTTTCTCTTTCTTAATGGCTTGTAGTAATTTATACATGTCTGAGTTACT